GATCCCATGATAAGTCGTGATCCTGTGACACATTACCCAGAATTATGAATTGAATTATAGAGCAGAAAAAAAAACTATCTAAAAATTAAGGGAAAATTACACTTAATCCCTAATATAGCCGCAATAGGGCCAACACAAACTAATCTCTCATACGCACGTACCTCGATTAAAGCATTTTATTTGGGGTTTCAAGTCTTGCTTTTATTATATATAAAAAACACTATCATAGCTATACAGCGTTATCACTTTTTCAATAATTGAATGTGACCCAAATTTAAGAACAAAGTAATTAAATCAGAAGAATAATAAAATAGAGATTTTAATAATAAATAAAAGCTATATATGATTCGAGTAAAAGTTTTTTAAAGCTGCTAAAAAGATCGTTTGGGATCTTATAATATTGATTTATACTGTATTTTTCACCCTTTAAAATATATACGAAAACTGCCTTACACATAGATGTATCACGTATAGTACAGTATGCAAATTTTTTTTTTAGAATATTCTAGAACAAATTATAAAACCATTCATATCTCAAAAGTTTTCTTATAAACCGCCTTTTGTATTCTACTCCTTACATATAGATAGTTTATATATCATACATGTCTACATATGCTATACACACTATACACACTATACGTACTGTACTTACTCTAAAAAAAAACTGGATATCATACACGTATTAATTACTTATGCATGTTATAAATATTATATTACTGTATAATTTCTTATGCTAACTGACATTTATTGGAACAATGCAATTACAAGTAAAATAATGTTTATAATCTCTTAGAAGAAAAAAGCAATGTGAAAAAGAAATCTTTTTTTAAATGATAACAACAGCATAAAGAAAGCTCTGACATTTGAATACTAAGAAGACATCACATCATTAATAGCGAAGGCCTTTATGATAGCAATAGGTGTATAAATTAGACCGTAGTTCATTCACAACTCTCACGATCTGGAACATTCATCTTTTCAAGAAAATAATTCATTTTTTCAACAACCTCACTCGGAACCATGATAATCCCTTTTGTAGGGTCAAGATAGTTGAATGCAACGGCCATCCCAAATGCAATAGAATTTTTTTCTGTCTTTGGATCTGGAAATGCACGATCAAGTATGAAGTTAAGATATGTATAATTTGGGTCATCATCAACATCGGCAGGGCTATTTAATTTTGAATAACAT